ACGAATGTTAATATATAATACATATATTCATATATATTCTTTTAGAAAATCTTTGAATTTTTAGAGTTTACATAATAGGCCGATAATTATTTTTCCAAAATATATACAGTACGTAGTTGATTATTACCTTTCCAAAATATATACAGTACGTAGTTGATTATTACCTGTCGGTTCTGTGGATGTTTCATTATTGGCGGTGACTGATGTTGACGTCAAAACGACGACGTATATAATGCTTAATATTATTTTCATTGGTTTTCTGTAAAATAAATGAGAAAAAAAAACCTGTTATATATATATTGTAACAATTTAATACTCATACCTTAAACGCACCAACTTACAGTGTACAATGAAGGATACCATATTCACATAGGCCTACATCATGATGAATGCTGGTTATTATTATAGAATTTACCTGTCAGAGGACATATTTAGTGAGACTACTTGTGTTTATACTGTTTAGCACTGATCTCTACTATAATACTGTACAATGCAATTAATTTAATTGATGCTTATTATCTTACAGATTATTGTCAAGTGAGGGCGTGCGTGTTTCAAAGTTTGAATATCCGGTTTTTAAACATAAAAAGAACCCTCTGCTGTGTATGGAACGCCTTAACAAACTGGGCCACTTAGGCCTTCCACTTAACACTGTATAGAGACTCAAAGCAAAATAAGTATTAATGCCATTTTTAAACTGGATTGGTCTAATCATACTTTGCTTATAGTTGGGTGATAAAACAGAGTAGGCCTATCGAATATTCGGTTTTTGTGTATTGTGCAGTTGTCTAATAGATTAATTTCATTAGTGTGTCTACCTATTATTACGCATTACACATGTTATATTGATCAAAACAAATCATATGACTGTTTTTATAATGAACCTTTGACACACACTGATATAGAATTACATGCAACACAAAAACGAACGTGACAAAACGATGAACGGGCTTTTGTAGGGCACTCGGTGATACAACTCCAGTGTAGGACTGGTAAATAGGCCTAAATCGATGAACCAGCTAGAAAATTAACAACAAACATTTTTTCGAATACAAAGAGCTGTAATAAAATGTTTTCGCAAATAATGAAGAATGTCAAAGGCGTCTCTTCTTTCCATAAATATTACTGTTTTATACCAGAGAGATCGCATCAATTATGAGGGTATATTCCCGCCCAAGAAATACAGGAAATAGTAAAATACTGGTAGAATATTTCTGAAATGATCACCTACGCTATAATTTAAGCTACATATTATTATGGTCAGGCCACTGCTGCTTTCATCTTGGTGATACAAACAATCTTACTTATAGAATTCTGTTGATCACAATGTAATCCAAGAGTAAAAAGAGGATATTCAAACTAAAGATGATGTAAGCCATAACCTTTGTGAATCGTTGTGAATACTGTAGACAACTAATACGCCTACGTAAGTAAGGCACCCACTATATCACTATTATTAGTCGAGGCCGGATGTTTCGGTTGAATTTATCAATTATATTATTGTACGTTATAGGTCATGTTTTTTTTTTCTTTCTATCAATAAGACTCCAGAATAGTTTTCTAATTAGAATCAAAATCACGTTCATGATTTAAATGTTTTGTTTGATTAATATCATACACTAGTATACTTTCTCAGGATCTTTAGTTTGACAGTCTCGTGAAATTGTGAATATATTTAAATAGCTTTAACACAGGTGTAATGCACCTCTTTGTCTTTGTCTTTACAGTAGGTGTTTTGATTTTTTAAATCAAAATAACTTTAAAACGCATTTGGGTGCAGTGGCGGATCCAGCGGGACGGGGCGGGGGGATGAGGGCCCGTACCCCTCCTCCCCCGTCAGACAAGCCGAAAAATTGAAAAGAGAGAGAAAAATTTTGAAGTGAGGAAAGAGGAAAAAAAGGAGTGTACCCATGAGTTCAGTTGCGATCCAGCAGTGGGTGAAAGGAGAGCTCGATTAGGCCTTTACCACTTATTTACACCAGCCATGGCATGGTGGGCTGAGATGGGCGTGGCGTCGTGAACTTCCATTTAGTTCCCCCAGTGAATCTGCCCCTGGGGTGCGCCCTCGTTTATTGGTTTATCATCACAAAAATGCTGCGTAAACGAAACGGGAGTTTTTAATCAACCAAAATAGACATAAGCCTACATAACCGATAACATGCACATTCCAGTGATAATGCGTCAAACGTGAATCTAGTTTGCTAGTCAATACTTTACTGGCATGTATTCCAGTTATTGATTTCTTGCTAGTGACACAGTAAAAATAGAACATAATATTTGCGCAGATAAAAATATTTTAGACGATAAGGACCACACACTATAAAATGTAAAAGAAAGCACACGCCTTAAATTTCATTTAATGCCCGTCATGATAAAAAATATTGAAACAACTGCTTACAGTAATTTGTATATTTCTGTAGGCCTAAGTTCTTAAGTTAAAATTAATAATTTGAATGAAAAAAAAAAATTCTCTGTCATTAAATAACGGACAGTTAGCACCTCTCCTTATTCCTTTGCACTGTTAAATTTTTTGGTAATCAATTTCAGGATTTTGTTTTGTAGTAACATCTATTTAGATCAGCATCTAACTTTTCTGGTTTGAAGTTAACATCTTATGTTGATCCTTTCGAATGAGCTATCCAAATTTACATTCCTTTAAACAACATGTGGATAGATAAGATACAAATATATACATATACATATATATATATACAAATATACATATATATACATATATATATATACATATATACATATATTATATATATATATACATATATATATATATACATATATACATATATTATATATATATACATATATACATATATTATATATATATACATATATTATATATATATACATATATACATATATTATATATATACATATATTATATATACATATATAAATCCCCCTAGAGATCAGTGTTAAGGATGAAAAGAATTTAATTATTAGACAATGCCAAAAAATGTTTTGTGAATAATATTTTGCACACACATTTTTAATTTGAATATTTGCGTGCAACATATATATATATATACACATATACATATATATACACACACACATATATATATATACATACAT